TTGCCAGGATGGTGGTACTCTTTATGTACATTTTTTTTAAGTTTTTTATTTCATCTCTAAATTTGTTGAATGGCATTTGGTAAGTAAAAGTCAATTTACATTTTTAAAGGCAAGAATGAGACCAAAAATGTTGAGATCAGAACTCTTCAGAGACGTTACTTTGGCACCATCTGCTGGATAGCCTTTAAAAGTTTTCTTGTACATAAACGTTCACTGCAGTTTCTTATTACATTCCCAAAATGATTTAAAGGAAATATTGTCAAAATTATCTACATCTGAATTCAGTACCATACCAGCTTACGTTAGTAGGAATTTAGCTATAAATCCACTATCACTTAAGGGGCATAGAACTTGCCTGGGTAACTTCATTTTAACACACATAGACAAATCTTAGAATGTGTATGCATTTATCTGGAGGAGTTTGTTTCAGCTGAGTCTCAGAAGCTCCTGTGACAATCACTGCTGCATTTCTCATAATCACCTTCACTGTCCTGTGAAGGTCCCGTGCACCAGGCACTTTAGATACATTGTCTTCTCTAATCCTCTAACAAGGATTATTAAATGAAACTTAATTGAAAGTCAATTAATTGAACGAAACTAAATGAAACACACGTTAAATGAAACTTCCTCTCTTTTGGGACTTTGAGGACAATCCTTTAAGGATGCTTCCCACAAGTATTAGACCAGCCATGTCACTTGTCAGGAAGGTGACTTTTGGCAAGTTACTTAGCCACTCTCTCAGTTTTCTTATCTCTAAACACTTTGGCTGTACCTAGCTCATTGGCTACTGCGAGACTACAATGGTTAACAAAGCCCGGCACTCTCTAAGTACTCCCAACTCTCCCTAAATTGTCATCACTGTTATTACAATTCCCATGAAGAAAATTCTCCATGTTGCCTACTTGGGGCACGATGGATTTTATTTATTAATGGATTAAGCTGTGATCTGAGACCACACTCATTTCTAGATTAAAGCCTAGTTATGGGACTATCACTTTTTACATATTTATTTCTCAGTATGTTTTCCTTAGACAACTAGGAAAACACTAAGGCAGAAAAGCTTTCTCCCCTAGTCCACTGCCCCAAAATAATCTGTGGCAGAAGCCACTAGCCGTCTACCCAAATCCATCCTCTCCTTTCCCAGAACTAGAATAATTGGCGGGCATATGGTTCTTGACATTTCCCGTCTGGCTGGCAGTGGGAAGTGGCCATGTGACTAAGTTTTTGCCAGTGGAATATGCTCAGAAGTGATGTGCACCCCTTCTAGGTCTAGCCCCAGGAAACTTCCCAGGCAGCCCCTTCCCCTTCTGCTGCCTAGATGCAGATGACAGGCCCTAGGAGGTGGTGGCCCCACAAGACAGAAATAAACCTGAGGTCCCTGAGTGACTGTGTGGAGGGGGGTTGCCCTGCCCACCTCCACACCCACCGCAAAACTGTTCCATGATCAAGAAATAAACTTTGTGTCTTAACCTACTGCAGCGTTGGAATCAAGTTGTGACTGCAGCCTAGCTGAACCCAAAACAACAGTGCACCTGTGTCACTGTGGTGCATTTCCACTCAATCCTTTCTCTACTTTGTTTACACAGATACGAGTTCACATATGTGACCTTATATCGTATTTCTTAAGTTTTTATTATCATAAATGCTTCCTAACAACTTAATGGTTGCACAGTGTTCCATCAAGTAGCAGGTTAGACCATAAATCACTTAACTATTCTATTGTTGACATTTAGTTTGTTTCTAATTTTGTCTCTACTTTAAATATTGCTTTAATAAACATTTTTGTGTGGAAGACTTATTCTACGTTTTGAATCACTTTTTAAAACATCATAATTGGCATTATTCAAAGATTATAAACACACTGTTGAACTTCTTTTCACAAAGACTGAATCAATTACATTACCGTCATTAATGTGTTCATTTCATCAGACTTTGAAAGCAAAGCAATTTTATAAATATAGTAGTATAAACTTATGTTATTTTGATTTTTTAAAATTTCCCCTTTTATTTTGCATTTTCTGATCATTACTGAGGTTGAACACTTTTCCATGTTTGTTAGTTAGTTGTACTTCCTCTTTCAATAATTTTGTTTATGCCTGCCATCTATTAGAGTCTACATTTCCTGAGGTTTTACATAATCCAGCACTAAGAGATATCAAGAATCAATCATCCAAAATTCAGAAACCATTTTATTAAAAGTCAGAACAAATATTAAAGCACAAAAATACATCAATTTTCTCAAACAAAAATCTCTGAAATAGTTTTATCCTACATTCAAAGAAATTTCTTCCAAATTATACAATAATTTAATCTTTTTAAATAGAAAAATATAACTTCTTAAACACCTAAACTTTCTCCCCAAATAAATGAATGTTTTCCTAGTTTTAAAGAATTTTCTTAATATACTATTGAGCTTCTGTATTATAATGTACATTTCCTTAAAAATCTAGTTTTGTCACATATACATCCAATATAATGTTTAGAACTTTGAGCAATACGTTAGTCTTTCCTACAAGTATAAGGCTTGGTGTTTTGTATTGCTTATTGCATGCTGTTGATCATACAAAGAAACAAGTACCAAAACTAGTGACTTATACATCTAGCATAACATCTCTCAACTTCAAACTAGTCCTGTATAGCCTAGTGTAACAGGCTCAAATCCCTTTTAAAAAAAAGGATATAAAAATCAACCTCAGGTGTACATTTTTATCCTTTCAGTCTTGACGTTATAGTAGTGCAAACATCATGTACTGTATGAGAGGGGAAAGTCAGTATTCTCTACAAGATATGAAAGATTTTTAAAAATTATTTTCTTTACAGGAAAAGTTTGGGAACATCATCTCTCAAGGTTAAAAAATTCCATATTCATCTATTTTTCCTTATTTTTGAAATAAACTAAATCAACCATCTTATAAAAAATACTTAAATACTAATCTAACTCAAATCATGAAAATTCTCTTTTAAGCAAATTTCACACATCATATAAATCTAACATGAATTGCATAATAAGAACACTTAAGCATTTTGCCTAGAAACACATAAAACTGGACTCTTATCTTCAGATCCCTTCATTAATGAGGAGATCCATCTTGACGGCATCCTAAGAATAAATCAAGCTGATAGCCTCAAAGGGCTTGAAGACCAGTTTCTGGAGACATCGTGCAAAAGCAGGGATGATGAGCTGTACAGTGGTCCTGGGTGTAACTTCTCCCCAGTGTCCTTCATATGAACTACAGCTATGGCCCTAGGGCACCCCCTCCTGTTTATACGAGGGAGCTAAGAAGGCCCTCCACAGGAATATTCAATTCAGGTCACGAGACATCAACAGATGACACAATTATCACTGAAAGTGACAGATATAGTACATGCCCTTTGAAAAACATTTCTGACAAGGCTATCAGGAGGGATCTTGCTTTTTCTGGATGGAGAGAAAAGTCTGTATTTCAGCCTGTAGCCGATGCTACATGGGTAGCATCATTTATCCTTCCAGCTACAGAAAGAAGTGTTTCTATAAACACTACTGAGGTTATGTCAGAGGCCGTTGCCCTTATCATCACACCTACCATCGACTCCCCACTCCCACTCCACTAGATCTGCAGCTCCTCCTGGCTGGAAGCCCCAGACTCTGCACTTCAAAATTCAACTGGAGCCATGTGATGAGTTGGGGGTCAATCTGCCTCAAAATCTGGGGAGTGGTATTAGAGAAAAATGCTAGGATTGAGAAGGCAGTGGTCACCTCCAGCTCTAAAACAACCAGGCCAAGGGTAGAATACACCAGAACAAGAATGGACATAAATGCTGGGAACCATAGTGGGTGGGAGCCCATTACTGTGGCAGAAACTGAATAAGGAATGGAACCCATACCACTAACTTAGAAATTCATTTCCTGGGAAGCATGTCTCAAGCCACGGCATCTTGAAAACCATGGCTTTTCAGTAATGTTGGCCACACTGTTCAATGTTCAGTATTGAAAATAAATTTGAGAATATCTTTCAAGTGACATCACTACTAGAAATAAATCTTTTTTACTAGCCTATATGATATGAGTAAATGAGAAATCAATTCAGAAGGTAGCCTTCTGAAAGAAAAAGTTTTGTTTTGTGGCTTCACAATGAAAAAGAATTGAAGGTTATATTTAAAGTGTTTGTACTGGTTAAGACTTTAATGATTCTCAATCAAAATTCTCTGAAGTCATTCTCAATTGCAAGATTAGAACTCCTTCAAATAAAGACAGACAAGATTCTAACTTTAACTCCTATTCTAAATGTCCACTAGCCTTGTATCTTTGGTTATGAAAGCAGCAAAAGATTCACATTTCCATCATACTACATTCAACTGCCTTTCAAGTTTAGAATATTCTGCATTAAAAAAAGATCAAAAAAAATTTCAAATCACACATTACATTTATAATGTAAGAAAATTATGTACAAAACATGGTTGAAGGTTAAGAAATTAATTACAAGCTTAATAGTGATGTCCTGTGCAGTTAAATATATGTTTTATTATGAAACCAAATATGCCAAGATTACATAAAGGATAAGGTTCTAGTTTCCTCAAGGCTCACTAATAATGAGTCTCCAGCTTGCTGGGGAGGAAGAGCTCTGGGGAGCCATGTGGCCAGGTGCCCCCCACCCGCCCAGGCAGATTCAGCGGCAGCACATGCACACACAGCCTGGGTGAGGGGGCAGTGGCAGAGCAAATCTTTGCAAGTGACCCTCAAGACCTCTCTCTCTGTGTCCTGTGTTCCCCTGAACTCAGACAGAGAACGCCCAACTCCATGATCTGATGTGCATGGTGGTATTTACAAACAAGGGCTTTGTGCAGACTCATGCACTCACTCACCATCCCACACACACACAATCACACACACATGGGCTTTGTGCAGACGCATGCACTCACATACAATCCCACACACACGGGCTTTGTGCAGACACGTGCACTCATACACAGACACACACACACAGCAAAACTAAACTAACCATATAAACATGCTTATGTTCCACTGTTAACCAAGTTTTACTTATTATCAGATCACTTCAGCATAAGTCAAAGAAAATTATTGCTGCATCAGGCAACTATAAACCCAAGAGATGGAGACACTGCTTTACCACACTTCAGAAGAATCATATCATCTATCTCAAAGGTCAGTGGACGAACAGTAGGAGTGTTTTACGTAATATAATTTTTTAAATCTGGAAATGTCATATTTTCCAGAAAAAAGAGAACCCAAATCCACACACCTGCCCCCCATCAGCTAATGGCATTTGGGCGTGTATCTTGATCATAATACTTTCTCGGAGCATTTCCAAGTCCAGGCAACTGAATGGACATTAAACTGACATTTAAGAGTCAGTTTAAAAAGAGCTGCAGGGCTCTCCTACCACCTGAATTCTTAATTTTAACACGTAGATTTCCAAGATAATGGAACAAAAACTTGTTGCCCTACATCAAAACAAAGCTCTCTTTTAGTCTTGAGGAAGGACACTCCTTCACTGTTAACCAGGTTTCATTTATACGGGTTCCAATCACATTATCTTTTCTGAAGAGAACATTTTTTCTGCCATTTCAGATCTGGTCATGATTTCCTAAAAAAATAAATAAAAGAAGATGTGCATCAAAATGTTGATTCTCCTTCCAGAAACTAACAAAATTCTCCAATCTTTGAATAGTCACAGTTTTGTGGGGAACTAAGTATATTCCACGATATACAAAGAAGTATTAGATACAGAAAATAAAAACCATATAATCCACACTCCTAATAATGTATAGTCAATTATCTGCTGAGAAGTTTAGAAAACTGTAACATCTTGCTAGCTAGAAAACATTTCAAGTTCAGAATCACAAGTGAGAGGCAGGGACAGAGCTAAAATGAATTTCTTAGGCATAGTTTACCTAGGGATTTGCCTCACTTTATGCAATTAATGTATTTTTGAAATTATAAATCAACTATTTCTCAAAAAATACTATAAATGCCCTTTTAAAAGTAATTCTATGGTATATCTTTCTGTAGAGTTATAAATCCTGAAATTCAACTGTTTTGTAGCAAGGTACATGCATACTGTAGCCTTCTTCAAACTTCCCATCCCACTACAGCCAAATCAACACGCTGATGCCAAGGTCATTCCCCTTCCCTTTCAATGAACAGAGCTCTAGCTGCTCTCATTCTTTACAGCCACCACACAAATTACTCCTTGATAACTTCCTTCCCTCTACTCTTCCTTTGTACAAGCGAATGTTCCCCACACCCATCCTTTAATTATTACACTTCCGACTTCCTGTCTGGGGCCAGCCTTCAATGTCCAGATGATCCACAACTAAATTTTTTTCCCTAAAAACCTTCCTAAATCCACATCCTCTATTCAAATTTTCTGCTTAGTAAATGAAAAGGAGATAGAAACTTAATACCCCAGCGAAATATCTACAAGTACAAGAGATTAATTTAGACAAATTGTCATCTTCAAGTCTTCTAAACTCTCACCTATACACAAAATATTAGAAAATTATAGACTTCAAATCTCATAAAATAATTCTTCCTCTTTCACACCAAGTACTTCTCTTGCTCCTGTTTTAAATGAGGATCTTTAAACTTGACCCACACATCAGCACACAGTGTCTTTCAGCCTGCTCAATTTGTAGTCATTTTAAAAAGTAACTCTCAGACTTTCTGAAATACATTTCTACTCTGTGAAAATAGCTCCAAGAAGATAAGCAAAAATATATTTTACCTCATCTGAATCCACTAACACTGGAAGAGCTCTGAAATAAAGGAGAAAAAAACAACAGTTGACAATGTTATTAAAAGGCCAGTGTATCTACTAATGCTAAACACAGAATTGGGGTCCACCAATTCTCACTCCTGGACAGACACAGCTGACAGAAACGAATACCTAAGTTCAACAACAGACATGGAGAAGACTTTTCATAGCAGTGTTGTTCTTCACAACCCCCAAACTGAAAATAACCCAAATGGGTAAATTGTGGTCTATTCATACAATAGAACACTATACAGCAAAAAAAAAAAAAAAAAAAAAAAAAATCTGACTGAACTATCAAGGGATAACATTTTTAAAAAGTGATACAAGTAATCTACAGTTACAGACATTAGGACAGCAGTACCTTTGGGAAAGTCGGGTCATGATTTGGGAGGAAAACAAGGGAGTTTTTAGGGGACTAGTGATGTTCCATTTTTCGATCTGGGTGCTGGTTACATGAGTGTGCTCATATTAAAAATTTATTGAGCTGTACATTTACTTAGGATTTGTGCACTTTCCAGAAAGTGTGCCATACTTCAAAAAATTTCATTTAAAAAGTAACTGATTATGAAAATAATTATAACTTCAAAAGGGAAACAAAAACAAAGCAAGATCAGCAATTCCAGAGGTGAGTACATTGGAGGAGTATCAAGGACTAAACTACACAAATGAAGAATTCCAAACACAACCGACATCCAACCACACATTCACTTTTTAAGCCCCTACTATTTTCCAGGTTGAATAGCTGAACAAGTGTCTGAGTGGTGATGTGCTACCTAATTTGAAAACCCACGTGTCATGTGCTTTTGTGAGAACTGAAGAGGGATGAATAAGCCTGACTGTAGAAATCACTTCAGTCTGTATACGTATATATCAAATCATGTTGTATACCTTAAATATATATAAAATTTATTAAAATATATATATATATTAAAAAAGCAGGATGAGTAAACATATTACAATAGGTAGTTTTTCTGGAATCAAGTATTTGTTTAATGCCTGTGTCATTATTACCATTGACTGGATGTCTACCAGTGAAGGGTACCAGAGAGAGAAAGCATTATACAACATAACCTTTGCTTGGGAAAGATAACACAGATAAAAAGAAAAGATAAGTGTATAACCTCAATGGGTGACAGAGCGCTGACGGAGAGCGCCTGAAGGAAAAGTCTATGCGCCAAAAGTTACAACACGAACGTCACATCAATGCACAACACGAAGGCAGAAGAAAGAACTGGGAGACTGACTAGATGTGAGAAAGGAGCCAAGTTGGATTGTGTGGAACAATGCTATTAAGGAAAATCCAGAGGTGAAGGCTTTAGGGGAGAAGTGAACCAGAGCCCTAGAGGCCCAGAAGACTGTCTGGTGGGTGCGTAGCACCTCGTTTAGAGATTAAACACTACATAACATCTCAAAAATGGTTCCTTCTGTGAGCTTAATGATGATTTAAAACTTATTAAGATGTATTCAGTACATTGAAGAGGAAGAGGAACTACACTAAGCTGACCTTTACGGCTTATCAGAGATGAGGAAAAGTCACAATAAATGCCATATGAATATCTCATAATACACTAGATCATATGGTTATTCATGATGTTTAAACTATTTTACGATTTGCAAAATTTCTGTCCCATTTCTATAGATGTATAAAAAAGGGTTTACATATGTATAAGGTCTAAATTCTAAACCTGCTTCATCAATTGTACATTAATTTTGGGCAGCATTGTGCTCAACCTCCTGTGTGGAAGTTTCCAGAAGTGAACAAGCACGGGTGCCCAAGAAAGTAAAACGGAAACTATCCTGGATTATACAATTCTACTCATTTCACATAAGTGGTTCATGAGAACATAAATAAGATACTTAGTCCTTCACATTTCAAAGGAATTTTTGTAATTAAGCAGATATTTCTATTTACAGAAAGAAACAGTAGAGAGCGATGACTGTCTCAGACACCAAGAGAACTACCCAGGAGCCATACTGCTTTCTACCAACTGGTGGCACAGCAGGGGGTGAGTCCACTTAGCCGATTTCCTTCTAAAGTACTCAGTAATGAGTTGCTATCTGGAAGATAACAGTGGCCACCTAATCTGAATCTCTCCATACACACCCTTGCTGGAAAAAACATAAAATCCCTCAGGATTGCAAACAAAAGCAGGACTCATGTCTTCAGCATTATCAGAAGAACATCGCAAACCTGAAATTATATGGAAGTAGAGAAATAAATGCCAATTCCAGTAGATTCCCTGCTGTCACCGCAAACTCATGAGTACAGAGAGTGGGGAGAGAAAGGCTTGAGATACTGTGTGAAAAAGAGTAGAGGGGCAGGAAGACTTAGCCAAAGCACAGACAAAAGGAACCTCTGCAAAAAAATCCAACACTAAGTGTCACATATTGACTACAGGTTAGGGACTTGGTAGTTTTCAGCACCTCCTACAGGGAAGGGGCTTAAAATGAGTGGGACCAAAAGCAGCAGCCTTGAACAACCATGGTTTTCAGGGGAGAGTCAGATACATGGAGGAGTGGTACCTACTGGAGATGTGACAGTGCAGCAAGTAAACAGAAGGAGATAAAAAGGGAAAATTAAAGATCCTGTAGAAATAAAAAAAACAAGACAACACCAACCTCCCCCTCTCCACACCTTCCATTCCATCAACCTTATCCACAAATGAAACTATAATTCATGCAAATCAATGGAAAAAACACTCAAACTAGGAACTCTCACCACAGAATGGCTAGGAATAAGAAAAACAAATAAAACCAATTCCATATAATGGTGCAGGAAGAAAAAAAAAGGAAAATGAAAACCAAAACATTTTACAGAAGAAAGCTATAACACAACAGTCCAAATTAAATAAGTTCAAATGCACATCTGGTGACATCAAAAACAATCTACAATAAGAAATTAAAAAATCAAGAGCATAAATGGATAAAAAACAAAATAGGAAGAAATTCAAAGAGTCAATCAAAGTCAGGAAAATAAAGAAAAAGACTAAATCATCCCAGTAATAAAGAAAAAATTACAAGGTATCCAAGGGAGATAAACAGAAATTTAATATGTGGCAAAAAAAAAAAAAAACTATGAAAATGAAAATGCTATAAAGAAAGAAGTAAAAAGGATCACAGAGAAAGCAGTAAAAATGGAAAACAGCAGGTAAAGGTGGAGAGAGGTCAGATGATTCCTCCCACAAAAACATTCACAAAACCTCGACAAAAATACTAAAAATAAGGAGCATCATGGTGGAGTGAGCTTTCCAGTAAAGTCTTCCCCCATAAGATACAACAAAAGGGTCAAGCATAGACCAACAAGAGACACTCACACAGCACAAAGGGACATCGGAAAGACCCACACTGCCGCACATCTGAGAGTGGACGTGCTGGGGCCCCCAGAGGAAGTGGGGAGAGGTAAGGAGAAATCCTCTCCCTTCCCATCAGATCAGCGACTCAGGTTGCGCAGCTCCCAGAGAGAGGGGAGGGGTGGCCCTCTGCGGGGAAACCATAGCTCTTCAGGCTCTCTCAGCCAGTGAGAAACTCCACACAGAGGACTCAGAACTGCTGCAGGGGTGCCATCAACATCTGAGCACCCCAGGAGAGCGGATGACGAGGGGCGAGTGAGAAGCCCTCCCCACTCAGAGACCCAGCAGGCAAGGGTGAGAGCCCCTCGCCCCCACACGCCCAACACTGCAGCTCAGCCGATCAGTCTGAGCAGGCCTGGTGGAGTGCGGGCAGCCCACGGTGGTGGCAGAATAGCCGGGGCAGGGCGCGGGGGGCCATGGTGGCAGAACAGCCAGGGCAGAGCGCAGGCGGCTGCGGTGGCGGAGTAGCTGGGGTGGGGCTCGGGCAGGGCGCAGCAGCAGAACAGCCGAGGCGGAGCGGAGCAGTCGGCCCGTGGCAGTGGAACAGCTGCGGCAGAGTTCAGGGGGCTCGGATTACACAGCCCTTGACCCCAACACGGTGGTGGCAGGTAGAAACTGCAACCAGATATTTCCAGGATGAGGAAAACCAAAGCCAATACAGCAACCACGATACAAAAGTACATTAAATTGCCAGACCAAAAGGAAAATGACAAGCACCCAGAAATAAACCCTGAAGGCACAGAAATCCATAACCTAAATGACAGAGAATTCAAAACAGCTATCATAAAAAAGCTCAACGAAATACAAGAAAACACAGATAAACAATTCAATAAGATAAGGAGTTTCTTCACAAAAGAGATTGAAATCATAAAGAAAAACCAATCAGTGCTGATGGAGATGAAGAACACAATGGAGGAGATAAAGGAGAATCTGGAATCTTTAAAGAACAGAGCTGACAATATGGAGGAAAGAATTAGCATTATAGAGGATAGGAATACAGATATGTTCCAGAT